AAAACCATATTTAACCTTAAAAAACTAATGACAATTTCTTAAAAGGAAATGTTTTGTGTGGGAGCGGGGGCTACATCACCTAAACTAATTAAATATATTTTATTATGATGTTATAAGATTAATCTAGACTTATCCTTATAAATATTAACTATTAAATAGAGGATACCAATGCACTAGAGTTCTTTGAATATGACTGTCGAAAATCATCACATGTTTATAGTAAGTATTCTTTGTTAAGGAGTACTTGGACAGGTACATTCGTTACCGACAACAATAATGCAAGAAAAAAAGGGACAGACACAAATTTGATCACGCAACCATAGCTTTGATCTCTAATCCATTCATGTTGCAGAAAACAGTATTAGTTTGTCCCTCAAGATACAAACGTTCCGTGCTCCGTAAAATGGTACTCTTCTGACACGACATTCAGATATCAGACTTTCGGGTCGGGTGGATCCAAGTGAAACACTGTTCGTGTTCTACCCATACCAACATCATACACAAGCCGTTGATTTGTGTTTTCAATCCACGGCTATAAATGCAAAGAAAAATAGGGAAGTTAGTGGTGAACGATTCTCCGAAGAGACTACAAAGAGTCGTGGAGGAGAAGCTGATATCCCTGTTAAGGTCATGTGAAAGGTGCACGCAGCTGCACCAGATTCAAGCTCAAATAGTCACCCATGGACTCCAGGGCAATGATTACGTCACCCCTAGTTTCATCACGGCGTGCGCGCGTCTCGGTAGAATGGGTCACGCCGGAAGAGTGTTCAACACAACAGCTCAACCAAACGGCGCCACGTGGAACGCCATGTTCCGAAGTTTTGCCCTATGGGAGTGTCCCTTTGAAGTCGTCGTTTTGTTCGCGCAAATGCATCGCACCGGAGCTTCGCCGAACTGCTTCACTTTCCCAATGGTGATGAAGTCGTGTGCTCAGGCGAACGCGGTTAGAGAAGGAGAGCAGGTTCACTGCGTGGTGGTGAAACGCGGTCTTAAGTCGAACGCTTTTGTGGGAACCGCGTTGATTCACATGTACTCCGCGAGAGGGGAGGTGTCCATCGGGGATGCTTACAAGGTGTTTGGCGAAATGCGCGAGAAGAATGTCTTCGCTTGGACTGCGATCATCGCTGCTCATGTGGCGTGCCGTGACATGGCTTCCGCAAGGCGTCTTTTTGACCTGGCCCCGGAGCGCGACGTGGTGCTGTGGAACGTCGTCGTTTCTGGGTACATCGAATTGGGGGACATGGTAGCTGCGAGAGCGCTGTTTGATAAAATGCCGAACCGCGATGTGATGTCGTGGAACACCATCTTGAACGGTTACGCCTGTAACGGTGAGGTGAAATCGTTTGAGAAGCTGTTTGATGAAATGCCTGAGAGGAATGTTTATTCTTGGAACGGGTTAATTGGAGGGTACGTTCGGAATGGGCTCTTTAACGAAGCTTTGGAGTCTTTTAAACGGATGTTGATGTTACCAAAACAAGAAGTGGAAGGTGGTGATGTTGTGGTCATTCCCAATGATTACACAGTTGTGGCAGTGCTGTCCGCGTGTTCCAGATTGGGAGGCCTTGAGATGGGTAAGTGGGTTCATGTTTATGCAGAAAGTATTGGGTATAAGGGCAACTTGTTTGTTGGAAATGCTTTGATTGACATGTATGCAAAATGTGGGGTTATAGAGAAAGCACTTGATGTGTTTAATTGGTTGGATGTGAAGGATATAATAACTTGGAACACCATAATTAATGGCCTTGCCATCCACGGTCATGCAGCTGATGCTTTAAGTTTTTTTGAGCAGATGAAGAGCGCGGGAGAGAAGCCAGATGGTGTTACGTTTGTTGGGATTTTGTCTGCATGTACGCATATGGGGTTAGTGAGAGATGGGTTTCTGCATTTCCAATCGATGGTTGATAATTACTCAATTGTGCCTCAGATTGAGCATTATGGTTGTATGGTGGATTTGTTAGGAAGAGCTGGTCTTATGGATCAGGCTATGGATTTCGTGAGGAAGATGCCAATGAAACCGGATGCGGTTATATGGGCAGCACTGCTTGGGGCTTGTCGGATGTACAAGAATGTGGAAATAGCAGAAGTGGCACTTGAGCAACTCATTGAACTTGAACCCAACAACCCTGCAAACTTTGTCATGCTTTCGAACATATACAAGGATCTTGGAAGATGGGAGGATGTTGCCCGGTTGAAGATTGCAATGAGAGATACCGGGTTCAAGAAATTACCGGGATGTAGTGTTATTGGGTGCAATGATAGTGTGGTGGAATTCTATTCCTTGGATGAGAGACATCCAGAGACAGAGAGTATATATCGGACATTGAAGGGATTGACGACTCTGTTAAGATTGAATGGATACGTCCCAAATCTTGTGGATGTTGCTCATGGAAACTGAACGAGTAGGGAGGTATCTTGATGATACCCAAATCTTCATGAACTGGCTCAACATCTGAAAGACCCAATCAGTTCTACAGACCAACATCAATTCTTCAAATTTTGGGTCTGTTTTGAAACAGTGGAAGAGTCACGTGGAAAAATGACATAATCTTTCATCCTGCTGCTGCTTGTTGTTAAACTCAGTTACTATCAAATTCTTGGTCTTTATGAGCAATTTGGCAATGGTCACTTCTGTATGTGGTGACAACCTCCATCTGGCTTCACCCGAACCTTGACAAGCGAAGACCTTGCTATTTTTGGAAGAGTCTACATTGTTTAGGTAGTAAAATATTATTGAAAGGAAAAAAGTTCACTGTGTTGTATGGGTGAGGATCATATTTCAATTATGTAGTATAAAATTCGGTGTAAGATATAAAAATTGAATTATAAAAGTTGAATTGAGATTATGACAATAACTTCTTTGAAAATCATGAACAAAATTTAACTTATTTTGCACTTTAAAAATCAAATATTATTTTTAAAAATAGTCTTAAATATGTTTTTAGCAAATTCAATTCATGTTATGGATTTGCATATTTTTTTTCAATTTAATGTTACGTTTAATATATTTAAATTGAAAATATTAGTAGATTGGTAATCTAATTAAAAAAAATACTTCATACAATTTGTTATTTGTTTTTGAGTTGAAATAATTTACTTCCAATTATCAAATTTTCATAGAAGACTACATATACGATTTGGTTCAGAAAAGGTTATGAGGGTGTGAATTGATAGATTATAGCCATGCTTAACTAAGTGCTCCGCGACTATACATTCAGTGGATTATCTTTTAAGAATAGGTTCTTTGTACTAAATCAATTTCTTCCGCAATAATTAATCAATCAACACCACAGTCTGTCCTTTATTTACACTAAGTTAGAACATTAATACAACATATTTTTTCTTATTTTATGACGTTGTTATGCTTCAAAAATAAAGTTGGATTGTCCTGAGTTTGGATTTGATTAACTAGAGAAAACAAAATCACAAGCTGAAAGCATTGTGAGTGGTAAGGGCTGCGACCCCTTACATTCAACTCCAGGAAAATTTGACAGAAAAAATTATCATCTATATGGGTTTGAGGCTTTGGATTCGAGGGTTGAGAAACTGGAGAGGAGAAAAGAAAATAAAAATGGTGGAAAGTTGAATTATTTAGATGACGGAGAAGTGACTGAAAAATTACGAAAATCAAAGTGAGATTTTTGATTGATTTGATGATTTATTTTATATTAATATTACTGAAAATACATGTGTTTGTATTTTTTTATAATAATAAAATCAATATTATTATTATTATTCGTATTATTATTATAGTTGTAAAAATAAATATAAATAACTTTTACAATTTTATTGTAGATAATTTTGTTTATTTTCTAAGTAAATTTTATTATAAATAGTTATTTTAATTTAAAACAGATTAAATTTAAAAAATGACCAATTTTATAATTTTATTTTAATTATTTGTTTTACTGTAATATACAACTATATATTAATAAAATATTATTTTTTTATTATTTTTATGCTTTTTTATTTTATTTTATATGTATCAATCATGTTTTTAGATGTGACTTCCTTTTCATCTACATACTAATGATGATCTATACCAAGACACCTAGTAAGTTTTCTCATACAAATCAATAATTTGAAATATTTATAATTAAGTTTTAAGTTTTGATAACTTTCAATTAAGTTTTCATTAAATTATTTTGGAGTACTTAAAATTACTTTTTTTTAATTGACTTTTTACAGTTAATGTAAACCAATTTTTATTATTTTTATTCAAAATATGTTGGATAACGATGTTATTATACTTTATGATGGTTTTCATATTATGTCTTATTGTTCTTATAATGAAAATTGTTTTTACTGGAATTCGAAGCATATATGAAGGAAGAAGCTTTGGTGTCAAACGATGAAAACTCATTCCATAAAAGTTAAAATTGTTTCCATGAAGATAATGCATCTAAATGCGAAAGCTTGAAATGATAAATTGAAAATATTTTTGAAGAGTGAGATGAATGTGTTTTTTTAAGGAGATTGGACTAATATCTAGGAAAATCTTTAGAAAAAGTCAACTTGGAAAAAAAAGTTGTAAAATTCAGAGAATATCTCTATATGATTTGCAAGTTGAGTTTACAATGATTTTTATTATAATAATGTTATTTTAATTAAATAACAAAAAATGAAGGCATGTTTTCCATTAATATGAATTGAGTAATACAAAATCAAGAGACTATGAACATAAAGTAAGTTGACCAAAGGGTAACTGCAATTGAAGCTAACCCATACGTCCATAACATGATTACAGAACATTCACTTTCACCAGATCCGAACAACTGAGCAATGGTGCCTGCCAAATTAAAGTGCTCACAGAATTAGGTTTACTAAGACCACAAATTTCTAATATAAAACCAGATGAAACAACAGTGGTAGGTACCTATATTCATGGCTGGTGGAAGTGCATATTGAAGCAGAAGGACGAACTGATACAAAGAATCTGAATGCACCAGACTCAAATGTATAGCTGCTTTCACAACTCCCATACCCAAAACAGGCAGCAAAATATATCTCACAACTACAATCCCCACAATGCTCCATACTGGAGGGCTTGATCCTTTCAAACCTGTCCCATTTGCCAAAACTCTTTTCTTTAACCATATCAACAAAGAAAGAACAAAAAGGAACTGGTTCATTTCAAAAACCAGAGTTAACAAAGTATAAAGTTTCACCTTTAAGTAGGTTTCCACCCATTATCAGAGTCATAGTAGGGATGGCTGCGTCACTGCATGCATGTAAGGAGACACAGAAGTGAAAGTTAGATATTTCTTTTATTTTAGAAGTATATGTATATTTTCCAAATAGTCCTTACTTTAAAATAGTATTTTATTTTTTATTAAATTTATTTATGACAATCACTTATATGATTCTTGTCACGTATCCTAAACTTGCCTCACGCTGAATAGACCTCTTTATTAAATGAAAATAAATGTATCAAAGGTAACAAACAATAACTGCTGAGACTCTAACCTTTCTTACAAAAATCAATAATTAAAAGCATATCTCTTTCCCCTAGGTTTTCCTGTCTTATTCTTACTTACTCCCTCCGAAAAGGTAAAGAATAAAAGTAATTACGCCTATTTATTATGATTATCCGGTAAGAATATCTTTATCTTTATTTATCCTATTTAACTTATATGTAATAATATCCTGAGATACGATCATAAATTCTAATAAATGTCCCTCCCATCTTAACTGCTGTGTTAGTTAGGATGCTCCCCACTGCAACCGTTCGGTCCTCTTTCTCTCTTCCTTTCTCCAACTTCTATCATCTGGTCTGCTCGTTCCCTGTTATTAACCGTTCGGCCATTGTACTCCACCATTTCCACCGTTCGGCACATGTTCTCTACCGTTCGGTTTCCTTCTTTTTCTCTCCTATATCTCTTTCTCTCGTCTCTTTCTCTCGTATACTTGCCGGCCCTAACAATTCTACTTATCTTTCTTTCATTTTCTCTTCTACCAAACAGCTTGAAAAATCAATTCACTTTCTGCCATATTTTTAGTAAACCTCCTTTTCCTTGAACCAAACATAATTAATCCTATCAAGGACATTAGTATTAATTAAAGAAACAAACCCCTGTCAAAAAACTGACCAACTTTGACAGTTTCATACACATGTATGATACAAAGTGGGTTGCGATCATCTCAAACAATAACAAGAATTTTGCAGTTAAAGTCAGTATTTTTAATTTCTCTATCTTCTGTAACTGAAAAGTAAGTTTTGAGATGCATACCCCAACATGGTAGCAGAGTCTTCGACCACACGAAGAGGAGCATTATTGCCTATGGTGAAATTACGAATTTGGGGGATTACACCGATGAAAAAGCCAACAATCTGTCAAAAAAACAGAAACAAAACAAGCTCATGTAGTTGGAGACTCACATAAACACACTTAATTAACCTACTTTGGATAGTTCTATTCTAACAGTATTAAGATGAAAAAAATAACAAGTGATTTATAAATAGGGAAAACAAGAAAACAAATTATTTCCAAGGAAATTAATAATCATACAGCTCCGATGGTTGATGGTGCAAAGATGGACTTCAAGTTTAAGTTGCTTGAGATCTCCCTCAAATGGTGCTTAATTTTACTTGGGAATGAAACCTGCTTAAAATAAACACATTATTGTTACTTCATTTATTGTCATAAGGCAAAGGAAGAATAACAGAAGATTATGTGACTTAAAACTGAACATTTTGTACTAAGTGATATATACATGATTTATTGACAGTAAATTTGGTAAATTCTCTTGCCCAAACAAGAGAATCAATCTTGAGATCTGTAAAAGTAAAGACATTTATACAGTAAATTCAATAGTTGGTGGAATTGTACACTGATATACCGTAAAACTTTTGGTGGGATATAGCATTCTGCAGAGGAATTCAAATTCTAAATAGTTTAATTGAACATTCCTAAATTAGAAGTTATTATGTTTCTAAATACACTGACAATTGCAAGGGGTATTTAAAATAGTATGTTGGTTATACAGATGCCGTTCCTTTCTTCTTGACTTATTACAATCAGTAAATAATAGCTTTTAAAAAAGGAGAGTTAGTAAGAAGCCATACTTTTTTCTCTGGTTCTTCATCAGAAAGCAGTATGGTATATGTATCATCCATGGTGTCTTCTGTAGGAATAAGTGTTTCTGAAAGATTGTTGGGGTCTGACTCTGATATCTCCCTTGGAGCCTTCAATATGTCGTTGCTTCTGGTGTCTTCTTTTTGGATTCTACTTGAACAAATCCGCATTATGTTGTAAACATATCCCCATAGAAAAACTGCTCCAATCTGAAGTTACCCAAATGAACCCCAATCCAAAAGATTAACACCATCAATTACAACCAAAACTATTTTTAGAGAGCTGCTATGGTACTCACAGAAAACTAAGTGTATCATTACACCAAATCATTAATTTTATTCAGAACATGCAACTTCAAAATTAACATTTTGCATACCGCCATAGAAAGTACAGCATAAGACATTCCATATTGATAGCAGAGATCGGGTTCTCCAAAAGGACTGTCTTTCTCTTTACATATAGCCGGAATAATGATCATAGGAAGGTTCCCTAGATTTCCTGTTCATATGAATCTAAAAAATGAGCTCAACCATACAATGCATAAAACAGAGAATGACGCAAAAAGTTTGATGCTTTAACAAAAATAATACATTGCAAATGTAATGCAGGCAGCAAGAGACCAGAAGTGCTAAATCGAACTTTTGGGTACATCAAGCATATGAT